CTAGAATTTACACTTTTCAAAGCAACCTATACAAGTAAGCACATAATTTTTAATGAACATTTTCGCATCTTTATTGCTCAGGATGCGAGATGTAAAAATTTAACAACTCCTGAGTACTCTTAAAATATTTTATGATGTTGCGGATGGATCACTGTTTATTTCTTACATTGTTGGACGCTTTTAGACCTTGCGGTTGAAGAATAACACCGGTTGAACTGTATATTTTATTAAAAAAAACAACAGCTGGGCGCTACGTGATCGCATCTTAGAGTCAGAGACTCGGAACGGGTTGTTTAAATGTGGAGTTGAATTCTAACAATAAAACTCAGGCATTTGATCTCGCAAATGTGCTAGTTATTATAAGTGGCCACGGACGTCAAAACAAAATATGTGCTTTTTATAAAAACAATTCAAGACTAGGCTAGATTAATATTTGTCCATAAGCCTACACTTTCTAAGGAAAGGCGTCGTTCAGATGTCGTACGTACGATGCGTCTGACCAATCATTTGATGAGGCCCGACTTCCAATGGCTTTGGAGCACTTATTATTATTATCCGTGAAATTTGAATGCCGAGCACCATCCATTATTTTTTATTTAATAATACAGTTCACAAAACCATTCAACTTCTTTATAATTTATAATGCGTTGAATTAGAAGCTTATAGTTTTCGCTTAATATCAGCCAAAGACAGCTAATGTTCTATACGTGTTCGTAGATGAAATCTCGTTACAATTCATATGAACGGAGTCAAAGCTTATTCAAATTCTATTCGTTTCTCTAACTTATGTATTTACATAAATTATGAACCGTGATTCTGCAAACGAAATTTAACCCTTACTGTAAATTATATTTTCCTTATATATACCAATAAAACGGTACGTGAGTAATATCAAAATACATATTTGAACTTATTTAAAAGAATGAAATATATTTTGATAAAATATGTTTATACAAAGGTTAACACAGGTAACACCATTTTAGTTTTGGCTTTACAGTTTATATGTTTCTGTATAGAGAAGAAGGCCTTCTGTGTCTGCCTGGTTTATAATAAATAAATATAAGTTAAAAAACATAATCATTGATTGGTAGATAGTACCGGTGACCGCAGAGCTGGCACTTTCCTGGCTCAAAGAATAAGTCTCGCAATACAGCGAGGAAATGCTGCCAGCGTTAAATGTACACTGCCACAGGGACCAAACTTTTTAAATTTGTTTTGATTTTCATTTTATTTATTTTTAATTATTTTTATTGTTACTTTATAGGTTAAGAAAATTGTAAATACTGTATTTGTGTAAATAAAAAGAAATAATATAAATAAAAAAAGTTAAAAAACATAATCATTGATTTTTATTGCCTAAGCAGAGTAATAGCAAAAATTGTATGTTTGTTGTGTTTGTAAAGAAAAACACAAAAACTGCTAAACCAATTAAAACAAGTTTCAAGCTACACTACTAGTAACAGGTTTTTATTTTAAATAATTCTAGTGGTGGAATTTTTCTTTATTTATTATAAGAGTATTTTCAGCACTCTAAATGTGCTGACCAGTATCTGTATTTATGGCAATTGTATTAATTACAACATGGCAATTTTATTTTGTAATATTTGGAACTATTGAAGCGATTTTTAGCGCTAAACTTTAGTGAATTATTGTCATACAGACAACATATGATTATTAAAGAGTGCTAAGTAGCAAGAAATCAAAAATAAATAGACATCAAAGTGAAAGAAATTAAACTCATATTAAACATTTAAGGAAAAAGTTTTCAATTCACTTGGAGATTGACTTACCTAAGTTGACTTTGATATATTTGATTTGTTCTATTGAATTGAGATTGTTATAACCTAACTCCGCCAGCGACAGCGATACCTACTTTTTGTATGGATTTTGATATACATCTTTCAATATCCGTACCGCTGATTTAGCAACTTTTGCGATTGTGCGGTACAAAAAAGAAGTAGACGTCGAATTGATTTCCTCCTCATTTTCTACTTTGATTTTTTTATAAACTCAATATTTCACTTAAGATTGCTATTAGGATTAAAATACTTCATGTTTCTCAGGGTTTATAAGTCCAAAAATTGTTTAAACATTGAGATTTATTTTCTTCTTTCAATTTGGTGTATTGGGGAACTAAATACTTACATATTTTATCAGCATTTATCGAAAGGGGTTAACGTTTAAGATTTTGATACAAAGTGAACTGTGTTGAATTATTATCATCAATTTATATTAGAGCGCACCGTGTATTCTTTAGAAAAGTAATATATTAAAGATTAGTCTATAAAATCTCTAAAAAATCGATAAATGAAGTAAGATTTAAGAATTTTCAAATGACCTTTGATCTTAAAAACTGACTATAGTAGAAGTACAATTACCATTATGGTAATTGTACTTGTAGCTCTGAGGTATTATATTCCTTTTAAAAAGTTCTACAAATTTAATGTAAACTGTTACGTAGCAAGCAAATGGTACTCCCAATTTCCGTGAAAATTTTACGGTAAGGGATGCGTAATAAAAAGACTTTCAATTTAAAAGGAGCGCTATAAAAATGCACAATTTATTCACTCGCAAGTGACTCAACCTGAGGTTTCTTAATATACTTTACGACTACAACATTTTTGTTCATATAATTTGTCGTTATAATCTGTATGTTACCGTAAAATACGTTGAACTACTAATAGTTCGTGTGTGTGTAGTAGTGTGAAATGACAAATATTTATTGTTAACGTGATCGTTGTACAACATGTAGGATGTAATAGTAGTAAATTCTTAAGACTGCTTTTTTATTTTATTTTTAAATAGGTTTAATAGGTAGCTTTAATTAAACATAATACAATGATTTGTCAACGCTTCATATATGCCTTTTATATACAGTATGTAAATAAAAGGTATATATGTAGGTAACTACATAGTATTAATAAAAAGAAAATTAAAATAAATTTAAAAAGTTTGGTCCCTGTGGCAGTGTGCCTTTAACGCTGGCAGCATTTCCTCGCTGTATTGCGAGACTTATACGATGAGCGAGGAAGCACCAGCTCTAGGGTCACCGATACTATCTAATTTATTTTATATTTTTTTATTTAATTTTCACTAATATTATATTATTCGTATAATTATTATATAATATTAGTATTCTTCATTCAAGTCACGTCACTCTAAGGTGCCTACAGGCTTGCTAGTGCATATAGTTTTCTTTAAAGTCCTGCCTTGCGATTCTGTAACTCACTTTTCGAACTCACACAGCGGTTTTCACAGCTGCGGTCGCGCTCAAATCAGTCGTAGAGTAGTCATTTTATGATTTGGCAATCTGATAAGGAGGGAGCTTGTAGTTTATTGTTTAAACCGCTGTGAGAGTTCGAAAAGTGAGTTACAGAATCGCAAGGTTGTATCTTTATTATTAGTCCCCATTACCACTTCTTTCAATTAATAATAATTATTATTGGGTAATTCTGTTCTTCGTCTGTTTTCGTTTTTTACTTTTTGTATTTTTATTTTTAGGGTGCTTCATTTGTACATAGTTTAATTAACATTTATTATATTTAAGTATTATAATTTTAGATCCAGTAGTGATTTCGTAAAATTATTCACAGACACCGCTGTATACATCTACTGTTTACAGTAACTTTGTAATTTGTATCAGAGACATTGCGACACTGATAAACGGTATTTGGTATTCCACTTTTGTGTCGACCAATATAACATATTTTTATTTTACATAGTAATATATATGAAAAAATGACTTTAGTCACGATAGTGCTGCAAAATTATGAGCTTTACGAGTTTACTAGAATACGAGATTTAAAAAGTGTTTATTTATCAATTTTCTGTAAAATAAATACATTGATCGAGTGAAATGCATTGATTACTTTTAAACCTATATGTTTCATATTTTTTTTTCTATTTACATTAACAGCGTTGTTAAACAATATTACACTTTATTTATTTAGTAAAATGTTTGAAAAGTTTTTGATAATTAAAGCTTTTTATTTTTGGATTTAAATGATAGGGAACTATTACAATTGAAATTGTTGTTTTACTGAGACCTTATTTATCGAAATCGGTAAGAAATGCTCTGCTGTGATCGGGAAGCTGGAAGAGCATTTTACGATTTTTTCAAAAATTATTTTCTGGACTTAAAAGTCCAGAACTCTTTCTAAAAACTATCAGGAACTATAGAACTATTGAGTGTGCTGCCAGAACTCTTTTTTGTGCTCTGCTTACTTCACAGACACGCTATTTAGCGGGTTAAAAATTGTTTCAGACACACAAAGCTGATCTCCAACAAAAAACCTCAAAATTCTTGCTCGAAGGGTTTAAAATGCAAATAAATATTTCTGAGTTATTCGATACCTACGAGGTAAGCGTATGTAAATATTACTTCGTAACAATTTCTTTTAAAAGGTTTTTATACCTTGTTTCTTGGACGGTATTGGGTTATTCCAACTAATTACCTTTCTTTGGACGTTTGAACGGCTGTTACACTTATCTCTTCCATTTCGATTTACAGAGAATTAATGTCAACAAATTAGGGTGGTCCTTTGTATATTTTTGTTACGTATCTTTGTCTTAAATACTTTTGTGCTATTTTCATCGTCTCTGTTATTTATTACCTAGGAAGTTCGAATGCACTAAAATCAATGTATTAGTCATTTTAGAGGCTATATTTGTTAGTGTGTGCAGTCGTATTCCCTTAATTTTGTCAAATTCTGTATCGAGCTTGCAAACTGGTTCAATAGGAATCCTACAGAGCACTTCGGAAAACCTAGAATAAGTTTTTAAAATGTATACTGCAGTATTACAATTAGAATAATAATACAAGTAATACACTTGTATAACTTATATTATTATTATTACCAGTGCCAAATGGTCATTGTTGTTTTATAATTTAAGTTCAATAGTTCGGTAATAGAAAACCGGAGACCGGCTTGACAAACCCAAAAAGTCGAAGGCGTGTGTCAGGCACTTTTATTATATTTTAACAATAAATGGGTACTTACGTTAAGGGCGATTATAAAGAAGTCCAGAGTGAAGAGAAACGATGTTATTGGGTTGAAGTTGAACTGAAACGAAACGAAAAGTCTATCAAAAACATTTTTCATAATGGCCTTAGCCTTTTAAAACAATATCAAAGTTAAAATAATATTAAATTAGAAAATATCTATGAGATCCAAGCCAGTAATTTTGTCAGTGTATAATTAGAAGTAAACTGCCTATCATCTCATTATGATAATTATATTATCCTAGTTTCTTATATAACAGTTGATACTGTAACTTAAAACTCGAAACAATTGTTTCTTTCATGCCCGGAGGCTGAAGAAAGCATTGTATTCCTCTAATGAGACATGGAAGCGACATTTTTTAACGTTAATAATTGTTATCTTATTTTTTGTATAGAAATATATTACTTGTTTGAGGCCGTTTGCAATTTATTGTATTACTGCGACTGGGTCAATTAAAATTTGACAGACACATCAGCTCAACCATTTACATGATGATTACTATTATAAATAACGCCTGGTTTGGATGAAAGAGTAGCATACACCATAATTAAATCATATAATCAATAATTATTAATGTAGAAGTTGTAGGTGAGGATTACGGTTATAAATTCTGACTGTGAAGTAATTAAATACGAAGGATTATTTTTAATAATGTATGGAAATATATTATCTGATTCTACTTCTATTTTATAAGACTTCACGAAAATGCTTATATTCCTTTTAATCTTTTTGCTGTACTGAATTACTCAAATCCTGTTCGTTTTAAGATATATTACATCATACGAATATTTTTAATCAGTCAGATTAACAAGGTCTCCAGTTTTTGTTAATTTGTATACGTGTTTATTGCGCTCCCGAACAACAAAATAATATATTTTCTAAACGTTGTGTACAATTTTTCTATCCAAATTTCGAGACAATCGCGTACTGTTACTTGTAGACGTCGTGTCCACTCATTAGTTCTTCATCTTCAACCTCCTCTCAAAGCTAACATAGGAGAATGAAAAAATATTTGAATACTTACTTGTTCAATACTTACAGTTTGCAAGTAAAAGAGATAGCATACGTTGATCAGCTCAACGAGGGTTTCCAATCCCATAGACAAGATCCAAGGAAGAAGCATAAATTTGATATCCTGCAATTAATTACACATTTATAAATGATATGTATATATCTCTACTATTTGTCCGAATATATAATATAGAAACAGTTAAAAGTCCAAACATTTTAAGGAGTTTTTATATATATATATGTGATCGAATTATATTTCTAATTACTTACTTTTTTGTAAATAGATTCTATTTAAGATAAATTAAGTTCATTCGTACAACGTATAGTTCAATATGGATTAATACGATTTTTTTTGTAATTTGGGCAGTCTACGTAATAAGAAATTATTCTGCAAGTTGAATCGTGACTAGAGTTCTGAATATATTTATTGTTATTAATTGTGTTTGATGGCCCAAATTCTATTTATATTCTTATACATATATAATAAAATTAGTAATCAAAAATTTCCATGTCCAAGTGTTTTTACACTTGGTTTAACTGGATTTAAAATATATTCTAGTGCTTGTCCAATCCATAACTAGAGTAACGAGTTTTCATATATTTTATGTATTGCTATAAAGTTTTAGTAGTGACCCAGCTCGTACGTGCTTACAAAGACATCAACCTACATCCTATAGTATATAGCGCATACCAAACTAATCTGTCTAAACTTATAATTGTTGGGACTTTTCATAGTTGAGGTGTATATTTTAGAATAGAAGTGCAGCACACAAGACACCAGTTTCGAACCACGTTTGTCGGTTGTAAGGTTTAATTAGCAGCTTAAAGTTATTCACTGCCCTAAACTAAGTGTAGTAACTTTAAAGTGTTTGACGATTGGTGCTGCAATAATTAGCATTCAAATAAAAATTACGTATTAGAAATGCTAAGTATGCCAAATAGTTGTTACAAACTTTATATAGCACCCCCCCTCCCCCCTTTAATTGATCCCCTTAGTCGTCTAAACTAAATTAATCTCATCCGTTATACCTAAAGTACTGTTTCGTATTGTATTACATTGTATTTTGCGCTGTAATAAAAATAGAGGTGACACGGTAAAGCTGTCAATTAAGACTTATTTATTTTGTGTTACCATTTAGGATTTATTATAAGAAGATTATGATTTTTGTACTAAATTTTACAATACCTTATACACTCCCACCATGAGTACGACGCAAGAGATCAGGCCCAAACTGCTGCATGCCAGTAGCGTGATGTTAAGAGACACTGTTACTGTAACAATAAAAAAAATAATTAAAATGAATTCAACCATATACAACAAAAAATTGCAGATTTTCGGCAGTATGTCATCCATTTTGAACCGTCCGAAAAGTATGGCATGGTGATTTTTGTAAGTTGCACGACGATGATTAACTGTGCAATAATTAGTCTGATACAAATGGTTGATTTTTTTTAACTAACGCATTCACGTCGGCAGGCCACGCCGCCTCTAATTTATTATTGTGGAATTTTTGTGGAGCAAATCGTTTAACTCTGATAATTAATCCGAAGAGTTCGACTAACGCCCACGCGCTTGGGCCTGGATTTTAATCAAATTTGCACACCGTGTGTAGTTTGATCCAACTTAAAAGATAGGATAGCTTACATCTCAATTAATAACCGCAATAATATTTTATTGCAAAATACTTGTTTATTATTTAATAGTCACAATTCTAACAGATGGCGCTGTGTTGAAAGTACCTACCAACGTTTCACATAAGCTACAATTTAATGGCCTAGCCACCAATAAAGAATGGTGGTCCCCATGACTGGTGTTCTCCTACCGTTTCCCTTGAACAGTTTGCTACTATGTAATATAACAAAAACCTTAGCCACAGCAACGCTTGGCCGGTCTGCTAGTATTATATAAATGTCCTCTCCCGAAATGTGTGGATATTTCAAACTCTAATCTTGTTCCTGATTTTGATTAAACTTTGACTTGCTCCCTGGTATATCTAGTCTACTTTAGTTTACGAGTTGGACGTGTATACTAATTACGGAATTAAACACAGCTTGTCCAAATATTAGCATATTTAAATAATATCACATACATCACATTGTTCTGTTTTTCAAACAGAAATTCATCTGTAAGACTGGGTTCACACGGCATTGTCCTGCACGTTTTTTTGCAGTATACGTCTTAACGAATAAATAGTGGCACCTGTATTGTACATAGACCCATTCACATGGCGTTTGTACTGCAAAATATCGTACACCGTTTATACGTTCAAACGAATACTCAACGGACTTGTCAAGCAAATCGAATGAATTTAACGTAAATGTGATTTAAAGTGGCACATAATATAGCTCTGTCTCGTTCTAGTTGTCACTGTGAAAGACTGCGGCTACTCGTATTTTACACGAATGAAAATCTACCATGTGAACCACCCGGGTGAAAGTACGTTAAAAAAACGAATACAAAGAAAACGTGCAGGACATTGCCGTGTGAACCCAGTCTTAGGGTACAGGAATCTGTTCCTGATTATATGAACGAAGGCGTGACGAACTTTTTTTCAATATTTCCTTGTAGTTAAATAGCTAACAAATTCTATTATATGTCTCTCTTTTGTGCTATTTTCATTATTGACGACCTGTTGAATGTCAATTTAAAATCTGTATGTAAATCGAGCTAGGTGTTAATTGTCTACAGAAGCCTTCGAAGCAGACATACGATTCGAGTTCAATAATTAATTAACTTTCGGGTGGGATAGTACTAGACATACTACAGTTTAGTATTGTGAAGCCCACGTATTGTGTAAGTGTCCAGCGCAGAGGTTTATTATTCGTAGGGCATGACAGAGTTAGATAAAGTGATTTCAAACCGAAGTTCCTAGTATTCGTTACGAAAACCGTCCGAGTTTATTAGAGAATCCCAATCCACTGCAGTAGGTACAGTATAATAGAAGTACTTCATACATGGTGGTAAAAAGATGAAATGTCCATGAGTCATAAATACTAAGTGATCATAAAGTATTGTTTGAAACTCGTATCACAGCTTGTAAGAGCGTAAACGAGGGGTAATATTACGTGATCTATCCATGAGGGAAATGAACTTTTTATATTATAAGGTTATTTTCATATTTTCTCCACGGGTAACATCGATTTCCAGGTCACTGACGTACATGACACTCATAGACTAAGTTGATTTATAGCTATTGTATGCTAAAAATACGCTTTATTAATGAAATTTATAAATACTGCGTGCGTCACATATTTCAAAATTACGTTTACGGTAGCAAAATGAGAAGGTTTATATATAAATAAAATACAAAAATATGTTCCTAAGCCCTTTGCGGACTTGCGGACGGCTAGACCAATTCAAGTTTTTTTATTAAATTTATTCCTTGAAGTAAAAAAAATTGCCGTTTTTATGGGTGGCGGTGAGAAAAAGGACATTCCTTGGAAGCCTATGTGTGAAGGGGGTTCTTACTAAAAATGTTTAAATTATTATAATTTATACATTCCCTTCGTTATAATTATTATTAGATTACTCGTATAATTGTAACTGTTATAATTATTTCAAAATACATACTAAAGAATATCTTTAGTATGTATTCGATTACGATTCCTAAGTACTTGCGATGTGATTTGTAATAAAATCGGGCTTTCCCTTAGCTAGATTTGTAACTGACACTATCTAAATGGATTCCGATTACCGACGGGGATGTTCGCTTAAAACTTTTAACTGTTAAAATCTTATTTTAGACGAATAAACTTCCTAACTATAGGACCTTTATTTTAATTGTTAATTTGTTCCAAAAGGCATTTGCAATTTTCCCTTTTAATTGCTTTATCTCACGAACGTATTGTTATTATTAATTGTCAAATTAGGATTTGTTACCTGTGTGAATTTTTATTATGAGAAGAATGAATACAATTTTTTTGTATACAGCGACTTCGGTGATGAGGAATTAGTTGTACATCCGATAGATAGCCAAATGTTGGTTTATTTCTTAAATTTATCAGTATCGCTATAGCAGTTTTATAATAAGAGTGACCAACCGACTGACTGCCGTAACTAACACGGCTACTAACTAATATATATATTACCGATGCCGAAACTTTCGTTCATTTAAACCAATTTCGCGCTTACGATACAAATCAGTTTTTTTTTTCGGGATAATTTTTTGTCGATTGCTCGCCCTTTTTCTTTTACGGTTTAACCAAATTAAATAATTGTAACCTGGTAACAAAAAGAAGCTTGCCAAGAAGGGTGAAACCATGACCACCAATTCAGCCTTGCGATTCTGTAACTCACTTTTCGAACTCTCACAGCGGTTTTCACAGCGGCGGTCGCGCACAAATCAGTCGTGAAGCAGTCATTTTACGATTTGGCATTCTGATAAACAATAAACTACAAGCTACCTCCTTTAATTTAGTATATTTCGCGGCTTCTCTAAAAAACTTGTGCTATTTTGTCCGTCTAAATATTTTTTTTCAGCACAGTCAGTCAGGGTCCACAAAATGATTAGATGATAGAAAGACTTAGATATATTTTGAATTCTTTGAACCTTTTTTATGAAGGTAGGTAGGATATTCCTTCCACTACTGTAATTGCTGTGTAGCAGTAACTTATCCGAGCTTACCATTGCCCAGACACACAGGCTTGCTGAAGATAGGTGGAGGAAGTTGTGTGGCGCCACTAACACAACCTTCAGAAATGAAGAGTGCGACTGAAGAAGATTCACAAAACAGCATCCGTTTTGGAAATTCTTACGAGTATAGGTTTGTTATATTCTGAAAAGCTTTGTATACTAAGGATACTTTTACATTTATTTTTATTATATTTGTGCTCCTGAACCAACAAATATGTTAGAAAACGGATATAATAATAATAATAATTAAGCCTCATTTATTTCTTGAAAAATGTACAAAATAAAATTTACTCATATAAAATACATACAATTGTGTAGCACAGTTGTGATACGAACGACATCAAGGTGAGAGTCACAAGCTAAATTGTAGGTACTATATGTGCGTATTATATATGTAGGTATTGCGTGTTGTTCCCACGAGCATGTAAGTGCGTGCTCCTATTTCACCATCCCTCCTGCTGATAGAGGACAAGTCTTTGTTTTTAATTTATGTTATTATTATTTATTAATTAAGATGTCATGTGGAACATGGCGTAATGGTTGCAGCTCCTTACAAATGTTGTGTAAAAAACATGGCGATTAAAAAGAGTGGCCGAGAGTTTATTGCCAGTTCTGCTCTTCCGTTCTACGCCCTTGATTTGAGAACTGGCACTAAATGTAAAGTTAGAAGCATTTCATATACATTTCTTTTTTTGACGTTCATAAGTGTACATTGTGTTACCTATATGATTTAATGATTTTTTACTTTTATATACAAAAAACTAAAATACTTCGTTCATTTGTAATGTTTGCTAAAGCTTAAGTATGTACTTACATATTGTTTCTTGAAAATAAATCTTCAGGTTTATTACAAATATTGATTATAGCATTACTCCCCTCATACAAAGCGACCTAATAATAAATATCGGAGTTGGGACAAACCACATTCTTTTCTGAAATTCTGAAAGCTAATTTATAAAGTTGTTTGGTGTAAATTACTTGGAGGCTCTGGTATTTGGAAAATCAAAGTCAGTTCAAGGAATTCAAATTACATTATCTTAGTAAATTTAATGAAATTAATAGGACGAAGAGGAATGTATCTTTGTCAATACGGCTCTAATTTATTTATTAGCTGTAATAGAATAAATAACTAGTATCCGGAAAAATTATTTTCTAATGATGCATATTTTGATTAATATTTTATATTTTTAGTTTATGCTTATAAGACTATTTAAGTAATCTCTCTAAATTACGTGTACACACGTAAGAAGTGAAACTTATATAAAACCTTTGTTGTACGCAGAGCCATAATTGGTTTGTTTTAAGTTTAGAGGTCCGAAACTATTTCTTTAAACACAGTAAATTTTGATACACTGCCTAGCATACAATTTACAAATTAATTCTTGCGAATTGCGATTAGCAAGTCGAAAATGTAATCCGTTGTCAAACTTCAAAGTCAAAAACATACTATATGTCATATTTTAACGCCGATAAATAAGTTTGACTTCAAAAAGCAACATGGCGCGTAACGGAAAAATGTGACGCGTAACGCAAAAATGTTACACTAAATTTTTTTCCTACCCCGATAAAGAAGTTTCACTTCAATAATTAAAAATGAATCAATATATAACTAAAGTAACTTGGAAATTATTAATCTTACAATGTTAATTAGATTATTAATAATTACAAATGAATAAATAGACACTAAAATAAATTTATTAAGTTTGCAGTCCCTACGGCAGTGCTGATGTTGGCTTTGACCGGGCTAATTAATTTTATTTCCCAAAAAAAAATGATTCTGTCTCCGTGGATTTCTTGCACACGCAGTTAAAGATTAAAAAGCGTTACAATGGGACAAACAAAATAAAGACGTTGCGGTTTTTATGTTTAATATATTATTACGAGAAAATTTCTCATTTGATTATTTCACACAATAGCGTGATTTTCTGTATTTTCTGTTATTGTAGGCTGATTGTGTCAGTTCATTCTAGAAAACACTTTCAGCTACTTTAAAGGTCAGTACTACTCACATACGGTATTACTCGATCGAGCTAAACTGTCGAGTAAAACCCATGGCATGGGCTTTCGTCCACACATTGAGCATTGATCTATCGAGTGAGGCGCGCCGTTCAGTATTCACCAAACCGTTCGAGCCAAACAAAGGAGACGGTGACGTTAAGCACAGCTAGTAATTTATCATAACATTTATTTATCTTATTTTTGTGGGAGTAATCTTTGGACTTGACATTCCATAAACACTTACACTGTCTATATGTGTTAAATAGTCTTCTATAGCGCTTTTGGAATAAACTCGGAAATCCATTTCTCTTAAAAATACGTGTTTCTATCACGATAAACAATACCAGACTGACGCTCGCCTCGCGCCACTCGCAGTCACTTACACACGTTCGAGTCAAGATTGACGGCTCGCTTCGAGTAGGTTCGAAGGAAATTACTTTCATTTAATTCCATCGAGTCGGCTCGGTGCGAGCCTTCGAGCTGTGAGTTTTGCGGTCCACACGTTGATTTTAACTCGACTTCAAGTAAAACTATCGAGTAATACCGTATGTGAGTACTGACCTTTAGAGTTGTCAATTAATTATTTAAAGAACCGTCTTGTCAATCAGCTACGGCATTTCATGCTCGACTTACTACTTAAGTACTGATTGCATCTGTAATAATTATTTAATTGACTAATTAACCATCTCGCTCTAAATAACAGATGAGCGTTTTACAGGAATTCATACTATTGTAGATATACCTATATTGTAATTTTACAAAGTTCATCTTTCTTGGTAGAGGTAGAAAATGTTCAGTATATTGCGTACTATACAAAGTTTAGCGTGTGTCATCCGCCGAACTTATATTGGCTAAATTAGTTTTGTTGAAGTACATACGAGTGGATAAATTCAGTATTGCAGTTTTATTTATATCTTATATAGCCTCAAATAGTTAAGCATTGTTTTAGTTAAACCTATTTGATGGAAATAATTGGCCGCTTTACAACAGCCGTGGTCATTAAGACACTAACCATTTCCTGACTGACTTTGTCTGACTGACTGACTGATCGTTTATGTACGTTAAAAAAGTTTTATTGAAGTGTGTAGCATTCGCGTGAACCACATAATTTATTATTAAAATTAATATATAAAAAAACCATGGCACTACAACTTTTTAGGTCTAGCGCTCTATATATATAATATAATAGTAGGCGATTAGCCTGACACATGACAACCTTTTCGTTCTAAGACATGCCAGTTTCGGCATGATGTTCTACACAGACAGTCCATTCGATTTGTACTGTCGGGGATTCGAACCTACTATCTTAGGGATGAGAGCCACACGCTGAAGACACGTTGCCAATAGTGTTTAAAATTGAATAAATAAGTAATATAATGGGTATGATATACGCACTCCACACCTGTTCGTTCTTCGTAAGTGTAATCTTTGGTTAACCTACTTTCCTTATTGTTTCTACAGGCCGTATTCAAACCCAATTCCTATGTTGAATCAATGAGGTATAAAAATATACTTACTTGGAGTTATTTTTTCCGGCTCGAGGAAACTCTCCGATTCGGGTTCAGTCATTTGGCCGGATAGGTAGCGATGCTCAACGTCGATAAAGTGCCCCATCGTTACTATGGTTACCGCGAAGTATACCTGCATAATATTATCAAGATTAGGGACCTGTTACAAACGGTATGCCTCTTTAGCATAAATTATTGACCAATAAAATACCTATTTGGTTTAAATCGTTTGCACAGTATTTTAGTTGGACTGTGTTAGTACATTGTACATGAAGGAAAGATCATTCTTAATACTACCGAGGATAGAATTAAAAACTCGAAATGCGAGTGATAAATAGTGCTGTATAGTATATATATATATACCTATGAAATATAAACGAAATTTTTATTATGAACACAATTAATACATTAATAAAAGCTTTGTTTTGTTCAAAAGTAAGTGGCCAATCATTACACACTTAGTATTTAAAACTATTTGTCAAGGCACAAAAAACTACGGTGATAATTAATTTTGATATAGTTTCTTGATCCATGTAAGAAATGTATTATCATACAACTATGAAACGACTGTTCCGCCACATTATCATAATACGCGAGCTTATTCGTAATTTTTTCCATAACATTATGGCTTAAACCGCTGTTAAATTAGTTTTTCCTGAACTCAAAATTTCCTTAAAACTTAAATTTACCTCGTACGGCTGCTGGTATTGAAAAAAAACTGTTTTCAGAAATGTTTGATGTCACCTACACAATGAAAAGGAGGATGTAGAATCGCCTAGCAATTTCCTCAGCGCTTGTTATTTCGCTTCTATGGCGGGAACGGCTTTTAGCTTTTTACACTCCTGCTGACATTTTTGAAAAAACGATCTTTTTCGTCATAAAACAAAAAATCTTCGACATTTCTAATATTAGACGCCTTTTAGACTTTAGACTTTTTTTGTCACAGCAGAAATGATCTCCTACGTACATGTTACACTTGTGTCAATATTAAATCTTCTAAATCATGTGATTTCAGGATTTTCTACAGTACTATAATACATGGTTTTACTCGTGGGCTCTCCTACAATCAATACACTCTATGAAACAGAGCAGGTGAAGTATAAAAAGTATGCAAAGTGCAATTCTTTTCCAATAAGCATACTGATTAATTGAATTTTATTCAAATATGTGTTTCCCCGATAAATCGATCCCAAAACTTTCAGCTAACACATGTTATGTGGTGGACTATCAGTCGGTTACTCCGGCTGCATCAGGGTCGGGAAGAGCAGCGCAAACGACCCTAAAACCGCCCAAAACGGGCAGTCCAAAATCCCCAGCCCATGGACACTCAGTTTAGTGATGCGTAGCTGGCCATTACAATTACAGTTCCGTAGCACAAACTTCGTCGCACCATTGCCTTATTATTATTGGCCTATGTAAAATCGAATTAGTTTTTATTTATTATATGTATGACCTCCAAGATTAAATTGTTAGCGACCGTGCCAATGTGACGTCACGGTACAAGCAGCGAGTCAGCGTTCGCGGATTTGTAAATGCGTGACGTCATCGCAGTAGCGAGTGAAGGAACGGAAATTAAAAAAAAACTTAATCTTTTCTCTGTAATTATAATCCTTTCGATAAAACAAAAACTTATTTGCACAAGAATACGCATTAAACTTGCTTATAATCAAAACTTTTCCAGTTAAATATTTTAAGTTTTATGTGTTTTTCTCCAACCTGCAAATGATCTTAGACTACATGATATGGTATGATTTCTGAAAAAAAATTACATATTTTACTATAGAACGGCATTCAGTCACAGGAGCACTGAATGTTGACATTAATATTTTTATGTGATATTCACCATCATTCATATGTGTAAGATGTCAATGAAAAATTTCAGGTCAATTCTGCAATATCCCAGATTTATTAGGTACGTATCATAAATTTAACGAGCACTCTATCATAAATCTTACGCCTTTGAGACGCACCTAGCATTATTTACGGCTAATTTCAAGTAAATTACGATCGTCTGCGAGGAAAAATTCTTTCTGCGTTTTAGTCTTTGTTTAGCTAAAAATTCTAAGAAAACATTCTAAAAGGCTAAGTTATGCTTTTGTTCTTAATACAATGTCTATTAGATTACCCTTATTTATCATCACTTAATTGAAAGTAACTATTTGCAATGCTCTATCAAAATTATCTAAGGTAAAAGATTCATTTTTGGACACAGGCGTACACAACAACAAAATGAAGAAGATTATAATAACTACTTTGTTCAAACAGGTCATTATAAAGTACCTGCTTGCGGGTTTCTTGCCATTTCTTCCCATTGGCTATTTAGTAATAAATTCAACTGTTAAACAGAATTCATTATGATGTGAAAAAATGCTAGTAAAAACTTAATTTTGACCACTATGCCAATAAAGCCCATAAATTTAATTTAACTGAAACGTTGTTGAACTGCGTTGGTTGATCGAGTCAATCCAATAAAAGTATATTTGCGTTACTTCCATAAATAAAAGAGAAGGCCTACCAATTCCCAAAATGAATTGGAAGAGGTACAAACAACGGAAGGTGCTACTGCTTTCATAGCCTTCTATTTGATTGAAACATTGATATGGAGTGCCAATGCTAGCCAATAACAATTTATATAGTCAGTACTGTAGGGGCCTAGTGGTCGTAACAAATTTAACTAAAAAGAACAGTACTGGATTCAGTGGTGTTTGAAAATACACGGTCTCTAGGAAGATCTCCTATCAATGTCATTAAACAGTTGTTCTTTTTCGTTATTTGGAGTGAAATATTATCTACAAGAGATTTCTTCTCCTTATAATATTAACAATATTACACACTGAGCTTTGCAGTTAGGGTATAGTGTATGTTTGTTATTAAGCTGTCTTAGGAGGCCAAGGTATATTACGTCAAGCCAAGTATATTACGTCATGAATTGGGTGTCGGTAATTACTCTACAGCAATCTTCTCTAAGGAATATACGTATAAATTATATGCTTAAGGCTTTATGAGAGTAAATAAGTTCTATAATTTATTACTTGTATTTTCTCTTCGTAGATTATATTGAGATAGTATACGTAACATAAGTGATAATAATAAGGTGACAAACAGGCAGGCAGTTGATGTTAAATGACCACGGATACTGCCTTACCTGGCCTTTTGAGAATTGGTGCATCATGTCGTAGCAAAAGTTGATTTGGTACGGGAATATTTCGATTTAATATATCTTATAAGTTTAAAAGAAAGTATATACTGACCGTCTGTTATAATATACATTGAGTTAATTTTAATTTAGAACATATATATTATTTACCGCAAAATTCTGACAAAATTACGCTAAAAATATATATTAGGTCCTTACATATGAAATTGGCGTTTTGTATGGGAGGAACAAAAAGTCGAATATTTTTAAATACATATAATATATTTAATTAATCAAAGTATGATTAAAACCATTGTTTTCTATGCACTTTTGCCATCTCATAGGTAGTTCATTGATCCCTTTACTAAAAAAACCAGTCGGACGGGAATCAATAAAATCTGTGAAGGCGATTTGGACTGCCCCATCAGAGTTAAATTTTTTCCCTTGCAAGAAGTTGTCCAAATTTCGAAAAAAATGGTAATCTGTTGGAGCAAGGTCCGGGGAGTACGGAGGATGTCTTAGACATTCCAATTGAAGCTCTTCTAATTTGGTAGCCGTCTGTTGTGAAGTGTGTGGTCTAGCGTTGTCGTAGTAGCAGTGGCGTGGAGCGATTGACCAGCCTAGGTTGTTTAGCCGCTAGCTTTTCCATCATGGTTTGCAATTGCTGACAATAGACATTAGCCGTAATAGTCTGGCCAGATTTGAGATAACTGCAATGAACAATACCGGCACTAGTCCACCAAACGCTTACAAGTAACTTTTTTGGGGTTAATTTTCGCTTGGGGCAGGATTTGGCTGGCTGGCCAGGATCCAACCATTGCGCTGAGCGCTTTCGATTATCGTAAAGAATCCATTTTTCATCACAGGTAATGATTCGGTTTAAAATACCTTCATTATTGTGCCGATTCAGTAATGTAACGCAGCAGTCGACGCGCGTTTGCCGGTTTGCTTCAGTCAATTCGTGAGGTACCCATCTTTCAAGCTTTTTAATATTCCCAATTTGCTTCAAGTGAATTAAAACAGTTTTATCAATAACACCGCAGCCTGCAGCTAACTCGGACGTTGTTTGCGATGGATCCGCTTCCACAATAGCCTTCAATACTTCATTATCAACTTGGGTCTCAGGCCGTCCACGGGGCTTGTTATGCAGGTCGAAATTTCCAGAACGAAAACGTTGGAACCAAAAACGAACTGTGTTTTCTTTTGCAACATGACCGCCATACACATCATTCACCCTTCGAGTTGTTTCCGCAGCACTAGTGCCACGGCGGAACTCGTACTCGTAAATAATGCGATACTTTAAGTTTTCCATTTTGTAAAATGAATGACGCAAACAGAAAAAAACAAATGAATGACGGTCATCGAAGCACAAATACATTAGTAAATAGCTGTACAAATTTGAATTTGGAATTCCTTACCAAAGCGGAGAACATCGTGATTAAAGTGGCCAGTACGAAATACGCCAATTTCATATGTAAGGACCTAATATATACACATGTATATTATAAATTCATTTTATATCCAATTATTCTATTTGCCTTTACTAAGGATAATATCTGGATACTGAGAGGACATAAATATATTGCGAACTCATGATATCCGTCTACTTGAATGAAATCAATTTGCGATATGAATTTCGAAGACGTACTTTGACGACATCGGAGACATCTGACTAGGACTTTTTGCAATAGACGACATATGTGGATATTTTTATTCCTGGAATGTCATTTATATTACATAATGTTAGTTCATTTTGTCTATTCTCTGAAATCCTGTTAGTGTCACAGTCTCTTACCCGATCCACCTAAACCGAGGCTTGAGAAGAAGATAATTTGTGAATTTGAATGGCACCCAAAAGTCGCACAAATGTTTACAAAGTTCACAAACTTTGTTTTAAAATATTATGTTTTTATAAGTCCCTAAGTTGTAACTCAGATTAAATGTATTTTAATTCTAGTTTAATAAGTATGTGGTCTTACTAATGTTAGAGGCGAATTAAATTGCTTAAATTCATGATGAATGCAACGTATTTATTGGAAACTCAATAAATTATAACTGTTTTTGTTTAAATAAAAAACATATTGCAAAACTTATATTCAATACGACCAAAAATTCATGCGAGAGTTTTTTATAAAATCATATTTAATAATGAGCACAATTTTCTTCTATTACACTAGCGGACCTGATATACGATGACCTGTACAAGTCTTTGTCTCTGTCTACCAAAGAAAATATTCCTGAATCTGATCTCAAAGCTACATACCGGGTGTAACTAATATAAGTTAAATATTTTTGTTTCAATATGTTTTTATTAATTCAATAAAAATGAAATAAAAAAGACATTTAATTGTAAATCCATACCACCGAATGAATTTGAACACACACAAAAAAAATATCCAAAAACGGGTGCAGCCGTTTAGAAGGAGTTTAATTACAAACACACACAGAGAAGGTTTATATATGTAAAGGTATACTTAGATAACATACCAAAGTGTATATCGCTGAGGCGTAGCAGCCTCTACGAAGGCTACGCCAACAGCAGCACGACTGTATGATGGCCATATCGACGATCCTGTAACAAATAATTACTATTTATATATTATTAATGTAGTAGGGTAAGTGTAGCGTAAACACGTATATTTGTATTGACTCCAAAACGCGAAAATACTTGAGTTAAAATCGAATACACTAGCTTTTTATAATAAAGATACAAACAGCAAACGAACACTAGACGCTGGATAATAAGAAATTCCTTAGAGGTATGCTGCCGAATTGCAGAGCAGATGTTTGGTACAAACATGGTTTTATCAGAGACCGTTGCATAATAATCAAAATTATCCCTGTTTATTACCTTTATACTAAAAAATATGCATGGTAGCAGGTAGCCGTTATTTACACCGATTTCGTAAAAGCCTGCGACCGTGTCAGTCACGTTATCCTCTTGTATAAAGTTTTGTTTGAATCATATTTACAAAATCTTAGTTAGGCTGTCCGGAAGCTTTAGATCTAAACCTGTCAGCATTACATGCGGTGTTCCTCAAGGCTGAAATTTATGTCCACTGTTATACAACATTTTTCTCTGTGACATGAGAAATTGCCCTCAAAGTTCACGACATCTTCTCTATGCTGACGACAAAAAATCTTAACCAGGATTAACATAACAAAACCTGGATAGCCTCTCGCAGAAAACCAAATTGCCGTCAACACTAACAAGAGCCAAGTAATTTAGTTGATAGATCCACGTGCTAAAATTTCAGTATTCAATACGTCTATATTAGGATTGGATTCAATAATTGACCTCGTTATTGTTGTGGACGTCAAACTATATCCAAATCATCAAAAGTATATTAGGAACGGAATCAATAATTGACCTCTTTTGGACGCCAAGATCGCATTGACAGTATTACAAATCATACAAAAGTATATATACATAAAGCCACTTTGTTGGGTGGGTGTTAGTTTTGTTATTATACACTTTGACTGCGTTCTTCTTCAGTAGCACTCTTCAATTCTGAAGGTCATGTTAGTGGCGTCGCACAACTTCCTCCACTCTCCCCTGTCTTTGGCAAGCCTCTGCGCCTGGGTGAAACCAGTGATTAGGGGATCGGCCTAGTGATCTGCCCTCCACGATGAGTTTTTCTAGACTTTCTGGACTTTAAGAAAATGTTCCATAAACAACAGTTTTGATAAAGCGTCTTTAGTCATCTAGGTTCTTCTTAGAATTTAGTTTTCGCTTCTTCTTTGACTGCTTATTCGGGAACCGAGGTATATAAACCCGCCTACTATTTCTAGATCTTTTAGTTCACCAGTGCATGTGAGTTTTGCTGAGTTAGTCTAAACTTTTCAACTTCTGTCTGCACTCCCTGAATTAGTTCATGTTCATTTGATGCCAAGAGGGTGGTGTTGGATACACCTTTCTCCCATCCATCTAGGGCTCATCGCATTATACTCGTATATACCCCATTTTCCCATTATCACCATTATGGTTTATGTATTAAATATGCAACCTTGCCGCACTCCCAGTCGGATTTAAATGGATTTTAAATCATGTGGTTGATTACGTCATACATTGATACGGTGATTTATTTTCTCATATTGATTTGAATGATGTATGTGTTAAATAAAATATTATGTATAGTACTCTTACTCTCTCGTACACATACATATTATGTACGCAGAGGCACACTACTATTTATTTTTTATTTTACTGGGGTTGGCCGTTCATGGCATTTCGGTTCAAAGATTTCGTTTACGATTGGCATTAGATTTAGTAATAAATAAATATTTGTTGTCAATCTAAATTAAAACAATCCAGTGGTGCTACAACCTCATTAAGTCTATTTTTGATCGTTATTTCTATCGATCGATCTTCGATAATAGGTGATCAGCCACCTGCGCCCGACTCACAACATTGTTTTATAAGTCTAATAGTAAGATTTCGATTAGCGCTATGATTCAATTTTGTAAGATTAAAATATACTTCTGTGCCAAGCTGAATAGAGATGAAGATATTCAGGATTCTTCTATGGATTTTTCTGCCTGTGTGTTATTCATCAGGCCTTTGATCTGTACAACCCGTAATAATTTTCACGGAATAAGTTCCACGGAAACTAGCCAGGACTGGAACTAAGCTAGCGCCTAGACTTTAATATTACTTGAAAATTTTGAATCTTATCGCTATATAAAACGACCAACGAATTCGTGTTAGTTAAATTAAATTCTAACAATGCTTTTATAATAGCAGCGATCGTTATGACATTAACCTTGTACATTTAATTAAGTATTATATTTAGTTATAAATGTCAACACAGTGGAAAATTTTCAAATATTCTTTTGTAACTGTTAAAGAAGTTCGCGTACCCTTTTGGGTTTTTTGAAGACTTCTAAAAACTTGAAGGACAATTATTACACGTTACGTGATTATTAGTTTGTGTTATTTTTGCACAATGAATTAATTATGTTTAATGTAACATTAATTATAAATCATTTTCAGACAAAATAGTTTTTGCTTAATATTATCATGTCATCGTTACATTTGGTTTCCTTTTTAATTGAGTAATAAATTGTATAGTTTATTTTTATTGATAAAGCTTGCCAACGCTCGGCACACTGATACATTGTAAGAACAAACACAAAATACAATTTTTAATGTCACAAGCACTTAATGGAAAACATGACATACATTTAGAGATCATACAAATATCAATCAAAACAATTATTAAACAAAACAAACATTACATAAAAAAACAATTACTAAAAAAAAAAATACAAAAAACTAAACAAAAATCGATTTTAAAGTGTGAGGGGAGCAACTATGGATATCAAGACGTTAATCAGAATGCTTAATCTGGACATCGGTGAGCTCTGACCAAAACGCGTTCTACGGAAAGGTTTCTCCTTTTTCTCCAAATGGAATAATGGGATGCCGGGGGTATCGAGAGGGTACACGAAACTTAAATTTAGATAGAAGGTTCGGGCAATCAATCTGATTAATAAATATCTTAGCTGCAAACGACATATCAATTAATTTTCTGCGATTCACCAATGACAACATCTTAAAGTGCGCCAGCCTGGTTATTATTATTAATTATTAAATGAATTGTACAAAACAAGCATTTCCGTTATTATTTTCACTATACTTGAGTTTTTAATCAATAGATATTAAATAGCAACGTATTTATGACTTAAATATTTAATAAGTCCATCTTGAGATCGAAGCTAAGGGAATATAAGATTTCATATTGATTTTTCGACGGTAGGTCTGCGATATCCCAAGATCTAATCTTGGTGAATGTTTAACTGAATATTGAACACGAACGTGTTAAAACTGCATTATAAAAAGTAGGAAAGTAAAAATATACCCAACGATTTTCTGTAAGTTTTTTCAAAGTCCAATTCTCACCTTCTGCGGTCACGTATCGCAACGAGGTCTCTATAGAGTGACTGGTGGTGCAAGCAAAGGAAGGGACTTGAAAGCTCTAACTTAATTATACGGTAGACGAATTCAGAATGAAACGCATGAATCTTTTATTTATGGTGGGTTCCTGCTAAGACTATAAATTTGAAGAGTGTGTGTTTTACAGTACTGTAGTCTGTAGGAGAGATGTAGATTAGAGTTTTCAGAAGGAGAAATAAGATCTAGAGCACAAAGATATCATTTATAGCACAGCAAAAAAAATTTTTACAAGTAATTTTACAAAAGTTAACGTTTTAACTTTCATAGAAAACTACCCTAAGATGTTAAACCTCAACTGTCAAGAGCGCAGCTAGAAAGAACAACTTATTATTGTGTCATAGAGACAGATGATCTTTCATTGATATCATTTTATTTATTTTTGGGTCATAGATTTTCCCATATTGATTTTCCCCCAAGCCAAAGCAATTATACACATAAATATAATAATTCGAACGTAAGTCCCCATCCTCTGCTTTCAGAAGCATATCTTACATTATTGAATAAATGGGAAATCATTAATTTATTTAATTAATATTCTTATACAGCGAGGAAGATAATTGGATTTATTTTTGTACACATCAAGATTAATTCAATATTAATTTCGTTGCTAAGAAACTGAGATTTCTTTATCGAACCGTTACTGATTAAATGTAAAAATATATTTGTCTACTAAAATATCTATATCTGATATGATCAACAAAAAACCTAAGAACATTTTATAATTTAGAATTTTACGTAAAAACGCTGCTCAGCCCTGCGATTCTGTAACTCACTTCACGAACTCACACAGCGGTTTTCGCATCGGCGGTCGCTCTCAAATCAGTCGTGAAGCAGTAATTTTATGATTTGGCATTCTGAAAAAGTGTGAGCTTGTAGTTTATTGTTAATCAGAATGCCAAATCATAAAATGACTGCTTCACGACTGATTTGAGAGCGACCGCCGATGCGAAAACCGCTGTGTGAGTACGTGAAGTGAGTTACAGAATCGCAGGGCTGTACCGATATGTGATTGTTCGTGTTCTCGATTATACTGCAGCAGGAAAATTATATTCCTTATATTGATACTCTTGGGGCTTCAAGGCCTGTCAAAGACCTAAACAAACACCTGGTCGACTATTCAAGAGATCCTACAGATGCGTTTCCATCGCACAACTTAACATTTAAACTTGTTAAAAGATTTTAAAAAGAAAAACTTTTTTTATATAACTCCATCAGACGCTTATCTCCTGCTTCATATCACTTTGAAGTCTTCATACCAAGAAATATTGGATGAGTCTAAATTAAAAAAGACGATGAGTCTAGATGTTAAGCCCTTATATAGACTCTTACAGACTTTAAACAGGATACTCAATTAATCAGTACTGTTTATATACAGGCTAACAATACAAAAATTTAGAACAAACCAACGTCCGCGGAATCAAAAACAAATTGCTGCGAAGTTGAATATTTCTCTGACCTTCCATTTAAAAATCACCTCGGTAATTATGCAGCTTTATTTCAATGTAACCTGGCTGAATATTTTTGACTAAAACTTTACGATATTTTACGATCGGTGATTTATAATCGCATATTTAGTAAGGTTAATAAAATATTTTTGTAGTAATTAATAAATTTAAATTAAAATACGAAATGATTATAAATGAAAAATTAATGTGTGCATTTAAATAGATTTTTACGAGTATATCACAAGTTTTATCCAATAAATAAGATTTATTTAAATTGTTATTCTACCTTGCCTAAATAGTATATAATGTAAGGTAGGAATCTATCTATTAAAGTCTATCAAGATAGGTCAGTCTAATAACTAGTTACGACGGTAAATGCCTATTAACTAACGCACTTATGGCTGGTTATATTCTTAGCTAACGATAATCTAAGATATTAAAAGAAATAGTTTTGCTTTGAGTCGAAAGTTTTGATCTGGTCTATTCGTTTACCTAGCGTATTCAAGACATTCATAAACACTATTCAGTTATCTATTTACTTCTATCACAGGGTACACACTACACAATATGACAGAAACTGGCGGATAAATTAGCTATTAAAACCTTTCCATACCCTTATTATATCAATTAAGGTTAAATATGACAACTAAATATGAATAACTGACATGAAGCGCTGAAACAGTTTATTCTTCTTCTGTATTACCCACTTATATTTTCTTTAAAATGTAATTAAAATCAAGTGCACAGGCACTAATTAAATATTTAAGTTGGCGCCTAGTTGTTACCGCTGTTGCTTTCATCGTTCAACGAACAAGTATCGCGAACATCGACGAAATTCTGCCATCAATAAGGGTTCAGTGCCACAGGGACCAGACTTTTTAAATTTAATTTAGTTTTCTATTTGTTTTGAAAATTCAATGTAAAATTGTCATAAATGTATTGTTGTAATACTATCTGGTCCTCTCCTAAGGATGAATAGAATAGATTTTAACATAAATAATTGAGGCACCTATCTCCATTTACTTGTTATTCTCAAAAATGTAACACCTACTGCAAAAGATTTTAAATATCAAATTACTATATACATTTGTAAGTATTCCTTAACTTTGTAAACAATTGAATAACAGTTTATCACACCTCCGTTTAGTTAAGTATTCAAACAAACAGAACAGATTTAAGGGCTTCCCTAAAGTTTCTACACTACGCTACGAAAGGCCACTAGCGTAAGCATATTTCAGAGTTAAATTAACGTATGCTATACTTATTAATACAACAAAAGCATATTTTAAAATGGATACAAATCTGCATACATTTATTTGAAAACATGCATTACTAGGGCTCTTTAGTGCAACAAAGCGAACTTTAGAATATTAAAATTACATTTTAACACAAAACCAGGCTGCAACTGCGCCGCAGAAGTATTTAAACTTTAGAGTATACTTATACTGGTAATAAACTTTTATTAACATAAAAATGTTCACGGAACAAAAACACATTCCGAATACTTAATTATTAAACTTTGCCGAGAAAACTTACAAGGAAATATTACGAGAACACACAACTATTTAAAACTTAATACG